TTAACCGAAAACTATGGAAATGTTTTCCCTTCATGGGACATAAATGTGAAACCGACTGGAATTATTGAATGCTACGAGACATTTCACAATTCTTTCGCTAGCTAGCAGACCAAATCTTGTACAGATTTGTCCGAAAATCCACCTAATATATTCTGGCAATGCCAGACGCTTGAGAAAGTGAAAATCGACTTGTTCGAAACACGTATTAAATGCCTACACAAAGCACAAAGAAAACTGAAATACGAAGCACCGCCCATACCCTTGTGAATGGTCATGTACAGAGGGAGTTGGTGAAAAAGTACTGCCAACTCGTCGCCGTTCCTGGGAAACTTCAGAAGTTGTCACACACTTTATACACGGGTGGTACGACCATGGAAGGTTGCACATTGCCGAGACGAGAAATAATTTTGGAAATCTCCCCTATCTAGGGCTCTGCAGTACCCATTGTCCATTCGCCTGGAATCTAAATAGAAATTGCATTTCCAGAAACCAAGTTACTGATCTTTATAAATGTATATAAAATCCCAAGTACGAGCTAGGTACGACATCAACATCAACGTTGTCCATTTACCGTATATTCATTGGACAGTTCCAATCTGAAATTAATCAACTGCCGGGAAACGTTACTAACTAAACACAAGAGGGAACGTCCCATTGTGTATAAAATGCATTACTGATCTGTTATAAATTGATTTAACAATACGCATTCATAGTAAACTGCGTGTATTAGGTTAGCAACATTTTGAGGGAAATATCTCGCCATAACGACCAGCGTTGATATTTCTACTACCCTTCAAGTCGCATTTCGGACAGTTTCTTTTCATTGTCCGTAGCCCAATGCCATCAACCCGTAATTAAAGTAGCACGATTATTTTGAACACAACTCGAATCTTTTTCACCTATTGAGAAACGATTGTGAGAAGCGTGCACAAATTTTACTATTTGGAATTATTCAGAAGTTTGCCCAATGAGGTACACATCTCATCACACGTCATTTGTCCTACATATCTGAACAAAGTGTTCAGTTATAAAATTTAGCATAGAAAGCAATTGTGAACACCATAACAAAAATCGCCATTTTAATGGGAGTTGCATACATATTTTTCGGGCAGATTAAAAAAATAAGCCATACAGTGAGCAAAACTTATCGCAGATTTTCCTGTCTGACTACCTTTAGCTAAATAAAGCACCACGAGTAATAAACTAGGCCACCGATGCACGTGCCGTTCAATATCTTAACAAATGCATTACATTTTATAATTTACATTAAAATGTAGTAAAGCGGAGTGATCATGTAACCGCATTGAAAGGGGTCGATTCGTAAAGTTGCACTCTGAAAAGGGTTACGTTAACATTTAGCGTTATACCGAGACACTCATTTCAACTGAACAGTGAAGTACATTACTCACCTCAATTTATAATTCATTTTATTGCACTAAAAGGATCGACATACTCGAATTAAACAATAACAGTTGACACGAAAGCTGGTCGCGCAGTGCAGTCACGCGTGTTAGACCCTGAAAGACGAGAAAGGATTATAAACTTTGATAGCCATTACAAATTACCTTTGATATAACATAGAAGGTAGATCAACGCAATTGATATATTCAAGCAAGACATTAAATTGAAAGACAATACGAAACTACATTTCTCATCAACCAGTTATTTTGGATAACTAACATAAACTTGCATCTTCAACCCAATATGTACTGGCATTGAGCGTAAATTAGGATTTTGTACTAAATTTGTTTTATGACGTTAAAAAGAAACAAATCTACACCATACAAATATTTTGTTACATTTTCGGGCGATTTTTCAAAAAAAGTCAAGCCTTAAATTTTATCGAAACTAAATTTATGTGCGTGCAAGCTCTTGCGTTCTTTGTACAAAATCAGCAATTCGGGCCAGCAATATCCTTCAAAATACTACAAAACCAGCCTCACCCGACGAGCGAGGAAAATGAGAATTGTGCAGAAAAATTGGGAAATTTTAGGGCTGCTCAAGAAATCTATGTATGAGGTGCATTTTTGGTTACTAATTGCCAACGGTTCTGATAATTAGCATCAACTCGAGCTTAAAATAACATACCTGTTCAAAATGACGTTTTCTATCCATGCATGCGCAGCTGCCACACTCGCAAATCCCGATGGTCCACCTGGTTCAGCACATTTCGCAATAGACCATTTTCCGTTCACTGCGAGAATCACGCGTTATGCGTGAAATCGAACATAAAAACAGGACAAACAAAGGTCATAGCGTCGTAGTGGCGTCAAACATCGCGTGGGATTCGACAAACGCGAAAGTATTTTGGGGACATTTCCATGCTTAATAATGTGCTGTCCACATTTGATGATAGGCAATTTCGATTAAGTAAGGGTATTCGGAAGCAATATTCTTCTGTCGAAGATCGGCCGGTCGGTGTGAGCTACGAAATAAGGAAATTCGAGATCAAAATCAAATCGTTCGATTTTTGCGGCAGACGTTCGACGCGCGTCTTTCATGCATCTCGCGAGATCTCGCAATTGTACGGAAAATCACCTATTATTAACCAAGTTGTAATTCCTGCTAAATACCATCGCCCGTCAGCTTTCTGGCACACCAGTGGTCCCCCAGCGTCACCCTAGAAGCAAATTTAAATGTTACGACTCATTCCACCAGTTTTGGTTCTTCATTTGTGGTTAGCTGCATTAGGCTGGCTGGAAACTTTATGTTTACTCCCCTGCATTTTTAGTGACTTCAACCCAGAAGTAGCTTTGTTGGCCAACACATTTAAAAAAAGGTAATTAAATTGCACTTTGTTTGAATCAGCAATCGCCAAATGGACAATACAATGTCCTGCACGAGTCGAGAATGTCCGAATATTGGGGAAACTGCACACCAGCACTAAATAAAACATTTAACTTTCAGAATGTGTAGCAAATTTGAAGTATGAACAATTATGTATAAGAGTTACGAATGCTAACAGAAGAGAATTAAGTTTGGGATTGAAAGATGCAAGCACTGAATTACCGCAGGGGATATACAAGTATTCCTGCCTTTCAAATTCAGCTATTAACGAAAATAAAAATGTAATCCATAATGAACTCCTCGCGAAAAAAAGTATTGATCATTAGACTTACGTAACATGTTCCTGCCTCTCCATTGTCAATTGCACACAACATGTATGGTGTGAAGATATCTCCATAGATGGAACGACAGTACGCACTGCCGTGTACGTACACAGAAGCTTGCTGCAGAATATCTGCATGATCAACTAATGAAAAACAAATTATGCATATACGTATTAATTTATGTTTTATTAAAATAGCAGATCATAGGGTAGTCAATATTAATCTAGGGGATATTTGTTTCCACGGGAAGGAGGGAGGGAGGGGGACAGTCCTACACTTGTCCTTTTTTTTCTTTGATAGAAAGTGATCATGAATAGTTCGATCACTATTTCTGCTTGATCCATCCCTTCCATTTACATCACAAATTTATGCGCGCAGTTAACAGACAAATGCGGCAATCTTTTGTGATATTGAGTTATACTCGGACAAACTTGTTCATCGGATCTTTAATTTGCCCCGAAACTGCAAGCTTTGACTTTGTTTTCGTCAGAAACGTTTAAGCATTTGCTCAGTTTGAATTTTCCTTCAACTATGTATAAAATGGCCCAGTGATTGTCAAGATGCATCTACAACTCGATCAGAGGTCTCAGCGCTGCCGACCGCGCGGCGTTAAGTGATTTTTGGCGCAAATGAAACAAGCAAACTACAATTCGAAAGGCTTGTAAGGGCTTACTCGCTGGCTGCACATCTAAGACAAATACGATAGTTTTAGTAGCCATTAGCATGATCAATAATTTATTTCGATTCATGGGGCTAAAAACAGCATGATTTCAACAAATAAGACACTAAAATTTACCTACGATCTTCGTACAATTGCCCCCATCGGGTTATAACACATTCTTCGTCTTCGTGGAAAAAAATAATCGTAGCCAGTTGACGGTAAGCAGACTGGATTGATGTATGCATCGACTGGCAGCGGGGTAGCCACGTAAAGCAGTGCTAAGTCCCAATCAGATGTGTCGTAGTTATAGTTCGGGTGAATGTACACTTCATCCACAAATGTTGAAAACTCATTTGGCGAGGTTTCACTTAAAGTAACCGTGCCCATGCGCATGTGTATGCGATCGCTTTCTAGTACCTCCCATGAAGTGTTATTGTACCTACGAGTGGACATTGAAACAATTCACAGACAATTACTGGGGTTTATATTAGGATAAAGTAGAGACTGCGCAGAATAACAAGTACTTTTACTACAGTACACCTTTCCAATATGTCGCTCCCTTCGATGGCAGCCTTCTCAAAATAAAGTCCTTATCTGTACTGCGGTATTTGCTTCTCGTGCACTTAAGCAGAGATTGTGAATTCAATTGATCTTGGCAGAGAAGCAAGGGGACGTTGTAGAAGCAAGGGGACGTCGTCGCCCAAGAGTTGCCCTTAAATTATTTTGTGACAAAAAAAGTACACAATCTCATTTCACTTTCTACACCTAAATAAACGTATTTATAAATGCATTTATCTTATATAACGAATATATTTATACAACACATTTGAAATCAGAAATATGGATCATGATTTTAACATTTTCTTTCATTTTATTTGCATATTACAAACATTTTAATGTCAACTATTAGAAAGTATTTCTAAAAAAAGAATGTAATAAATTTATTATCAACTAATAGTACTAGTATACAATCGCAGATTCTTGTTTAATTACACACAGAGAGCTTCCGTCAATACCCAACGCTCATCGACGATAACGCCAGCGCAGGTACGTATATAATCACCGGGAGAATCTCTCGCATCGATGCGGAGAGCTACGTGCCAGGGCCAACTTCCATCTGTCGCGTTATTACCACTAACGATACAATCCGCGGGCGAGTCGACTGTGCCACATGACGTCACGCCTACGTACAAGAATAACATTTGTTAAATTGGCTAAAAATAATTAGTCGTGATCTGTTTAGTCGATGATTAAATTATGATCTTTATGTACAGAAGCAAATCGTCAAAGTCAAACACAAAGCGGCGTTTGTTGTCACTTTGTCTTCAATGAATTCGATGCAAATAGCGAGATTCGGATTAAGCGTACAAAACGATTAAAAATTAATCCAAATCTTGATTCTGGCAGTGTTTTGGATAGTATTACAATTGCAATTTCGACTACTTTCGAATTCACAATAAAACTGTCTAAGGGAGGGGTGTACACGTTAAAGCGCGGTGGTCGTCGCGCAGCGTATGTAAATAAACAATGTATTTTACACGCGTTGTATACGTCGCTACGAGTCCCATATCGAACAGGACGCGGCACGGCGACTGCCGCCCTTTAAAATGGTCGAAACAAACATGTTGAATCGTGTGTGATTGGTCAGTACCACGACCAACACCAAATATTTACGAATTATCAATTGCTATTCATGTATACAATTATTTACACTTTGTAGCTGGGTACAAGTCTGGGAAAATTTGAGTCGATTCAACACCTTTTTGCACATTGATAGACGTAAATGCAGCGAACGTACGCAACTTGTCGGGTTCTGCTCAATAAAATGAACATGCAGAAATGTTGATGGGGGCGATATAACAAGTCTCGGAAAAACCACCGATCTCCAGCTTTGACAGTGTTCTCCAATTTAGCGGCTCGTATCAAAATGGTCAGTGTCGTCAAAACAACATTTGTACCTACCAGTTTCCATTGTCGACTGTATCCACTGATTGCCGGCAGTAATACGCGAGTACACGCCAGGGTACGATGGGTCGGCACAACCAAATCCCCAGCTAGCAAGTCCTGCCAAATACCACAATCCGTCATCCATTTGACACATCATAGGACCGCCATTGTCTCCCTATATATATATAGAAAATTGGACACCGGTTTACGGATGCGTTAACAAAGTTACTCGGCCGATGTGAAGCGCGAAGGAGGGGGTAGTATGAAATCACGTCGACAGGGAGGTGCTGAAAATCGAGTCTTGTTAAATACTCAAGATGTTAAGTTATTAATCCAAGCTACAAATACTAGTAATTGCTTTTATTACGACAGTTTTTTTTGCGTTTTAGCGCAAGATTTTTGCACGTTGTTTTGTACAATTTATACACAGAAAAGTCAGAAAAAATAAAATCAGTTACGATTAGAAGAATTTTGTGCAACGAGAACAAATCAAATAGTCGTTCTACCCGAGGGTAAAATGTGTACCCAACAAGTGCGGCACCTCCCAGTTAGTATGTGAACTAGAGTAACACCACCGGAATTAATTGCCGGCGAATATTACACGCGTAGAGTGCTGTTCATACGGTGTTCAGTATTCAACGTCTGCATTTTACGCCTATAATTAAGGCTTCGAACGTACCGTCGGGACGACAGGAATTTGTTCATAAAAATATACTAACATGGAATTTTATTTCCATGGCAACTTGAAACTTCTCAGTATTATTACTGCTGTACATAAAGTCTACTTACAAAACAAGCGTCATTTCCGGGTTGGGCAGGACAAACCATCGATTCTGTTAAATAGTCGCTGCAACGGCTTCGACAGAAATATTGATCTAATATGTCAACTGTAGCTTCTTTGAGAGTATCCGACACAAATACAACGAGCAAGATAAAAGAACATTAGCGATATTAAAAATAGAAATATTAGGCGAGTGTATGAATAGGTCGTCGATTGCTTACGGGTCGAGGGTCTGGTAATTACGGGCTGGGGCGGAACGCAACCGAGATTTGTGTAGCGCCATCAACGGCATAAACCAGGTTTTTTTTTATCTGCGGAAATCGCGTGGTATATCCCACGATATTTTTTGGGAATCTATGACTGAAATCATAATACTTGTGCCATGTGAACCACTATTTAGGCAGTTTATTTTGTAAATCAACACTCGTCTTTATGGCAATTGTAAACTAGCCACACTTTTATATACACATTGTAATTTTGTAAACCGCTATTGTAATATTCGGACCTTACACCTTGGCAAGGACAGAAAAAGCTTTAGTCAAGGTGCAACATCTTTAGATAACGGGAAGATGCAGATACAGCCTCTAACTGCCTGGCTATTGAATTTCCGATGGAGGCGTATGTGGGGAAAACTTATTAGGTCATATCAAGCGGTATGCAATGAATTATTCATCATGGATTAAAATATCTTTCAATTTCAGTGACCTTCGTGTCCGCCTTTCAAAATTTACACGCTTATAGGCGTCACATTTATGAAAATATATTTTCCCATTTGTTTTCTAAAACAAACATTAAAATGCACTCAGTAGGCGTTGCAATTTTTCAGTTGTTTTCCAAAAGTCGCATAGGGGAATACACTAATACAAATCCAAGAACAACAAATACAAATTTTGCAGTTCTGAAAAAGACTTATTTCTCACGTGACCTGTACTTCCAATAATCACCCTTAGCTTCATTACAGGGGACTGCGCCTCGACTGTACCATCTGATTCCCTCGATTTTTATATAACAATAAACTGGCATTGAATGGATTTTGTAAATTGTCTTCATATTAGGGCTGACAACAATCGCCTAAAGAATCATTACAACAGCATATTCATAAAGCGATTTATTTACTTGCTGACTGACCCATGTGATTCACTCACCTGGAGATACTCCCCCCCCCCCCCATCCAGCAATAACGCATTCTTTGCCAGCACTAAAGAAACAGTCGTCTCCGTGCGCAGGTAGACATATACTAGTAGGTTGAATATAGAAACTAAAAGGTATAGCATCATGCAAGTACAAGAGTGCAAAGTCCCAATCGTCCCAAATTACCGTCTCATAGAGTGGATGCACTGCGATGTAGTCAACGGTAGCATGGTATTCGTGCGATGTCGATTCGGAGCGCGATAAGAAACCCATATTCGTACCTTCAAGTCTGTTGGACTCGCGTTTTCCCTGTTAATGAATTGACATCGAGAAGTTGGTAGTTCTCACCCAGGGCAATGTGTGCAGACACCCAACTAAAGATGACAGTATGTCCGAATCTGATACACTGCATTTTTTCAGGAACATTCCAACTTCGGCCGCATTTCCACGTTTCAAACAAACTGCTCACAATAGCCGCTGCGGCATATATATCACGAGAATTGGGACGTTTTATACAAATATCGTATATTCAAACTTTACGAGAGAAAAATCTTTACACACAGGAATGATGTACGAAGATAGAAAAACCAGCGCAATCAAATAACCCAGCCACACATTACTTACGCACAGTAGGCAGCAGTAAGAATCCAATGTTCATTAACAACGACTCCGCCACAAATACAATTCTCTCCTTCCACCAGTACCAGCCACGGCCAACTGCCTAGAGTAGAGTTGGTCCCGCCATATACTTTGTTCATAGTTGCCGGACTAATGCCGCATTGTGAGGGTTCTATAGACCAGAATGAACAATCAACGACAATTACAGTAGTCTGCACGAGAGGGAAAATCTTCCAGAACAGTGAATTTCGCTATAACTAACATTTCACGGCTAGTACCGCGGCGACTAACGTAACTGTTGCCAAATCAGAATAATATTACCACAAAATCATTACCTGCAGGAATTTCACAAATGAAAAACATTCTGATGACACATCGGTTAAATGCCCATTGTACATAACTTCCTTCCTCAGCCCTGAAAATAAACAAAAAACGTGTACAACTGTTATTTGGCGTTATTAAAATATAACTGGAAATAATCTATGCAGTACATCATGTACAATTTATCCTAGAAGTATTAACCTTCGTGAGCACTGCCAAGAGGAGCGCGGACTCGTATGACAACTGGAATTGGGGTAACTACAGGTGTCATACAATAAGGTGCATGTGAAATGCAAGCTATTGTCTGGCCAACATCATCGGTAGGAACTTAAAAGCAGAGATCACAGACACATTCAAAAACAAAAAAATAGCATCCATGTATATCAAACGTATTCAACACGGGAATAAGCCTTAGGTATGCTAGCTGCTTTTGAAACTCAATATATTTTAGAGCGAGTGGCTTGTTTCTAATATTGTTAATATTAATCTAGTTAGAATCTACTTTATTTGTCGACTTTTACGATTATGCATTTTATTACGAGTACTACTTAAGTTGTTATATTGTATGCGAATTCCCAGAATAACTTGTATGGTGCACAAATTACATTTTTGTAATTACAGATAAAAATAAATTGCGCTATTCACCCTTTTCAATAAGGCGCCCCCAACGACAGTTATGTAACGTTATATGATGACGTAGACGAACGTAGCCTACGACGTCATTTTAGGAAATAGCAATGCTATGCAAAGCAAGGAAATGCAATGCTTGACGCACGACCATCAACTCTGCGCTTGTTATTCGAGAATCCAGCTAATATCGAATATAAATAGATCTCACCTTAGATATACACAGTCACGCTAGCGCTGTTCGTTGTTGTTGGATTTCCCAGAATACCAGTCGCCGTAAAACGTTGGTTTAGTTTTATCTGACCATTTTAGTTTACCTTCCTTCCGTACATCGTTCAACCCTATCCAGAACGAGCCCTCGATGCCACCGTGACGCATCATGTCTTCGTAGAGGGCGTTTTTGGCCAAATCGAATGGCTGAGCCAATTTACCGCCAAGTTTACTGCAAAACAGCTTCGCGTTATCCCACGACCGTTTTCTTGTGGCAACCAAGATGTCAAACTGGAATTCACGAAACAATTCAACTCCTGGTGACGTGTAATACAAGACAGTATTTTTATGTTAATAATGTACATTATATGCCGGAACATAATTTCAACTTCAAACCTAACTCGTGCTTTCACCAATTCCAAAAGGTCGGGTTCAGCCTACGAGTCATGTAGTTAAAAAGATCTTTTCATGACGAAATGCATTTTACAAAACTAAACAGTTGACCAATTCAGACAAAAGAGTGGGAAATTGAAAACTTTCAAACTTTTCCATGACTAAAGAATTTCACAGCCCCAGATTTCTTTCAACTACTCAAATCCTTGAAGAGCTCTCGTCCCCTCTCATATCTTGCGATTGTTTCCTGTACTCGCAAACTATTCGTGGCCACCCCCTAACTTGCCCAGACATTTTTACAAGATTTCTTATTCCAAAAGCAGGAAGAAATACTGCACAAATTGCAACTGAATTGTGTGTACTAAAAAGAAAAAAATCTTGAAAACATTGTCCGGCTCGTCCACTACTCTAACATTGCGAAGTAATTGCTCTACGACTTTTATAGTACACCCAGTTTAAAAATGAAAGTATTGCCCACTTCCTAGTATTAAATTCGCACAGAAATATTCACAGCACTCTCTGAATGTGTTCAAAAAGAACAATTCGTTAGAGCTATATATTTATAAAGTATCACAAACTGGTAGTGGTGTGCTAATTGAGTGTTATTTTAAGGTAGAGATGCAGTTTACCTGACAGGCATTTTAATTTGTTAATTAGGAAACCAAGATGACCTCCCTTGTCCACAAAACAAAGCTTATTGTATGAATTTTAAAAGTTTTTAGTATTTTTTTCATGGACACTAGTTTGAAATATGCACAAAAATGTGTTTTTTTTTTGGTCAAAAGTGATTTTAAAAAACATACGAAACAGAAACATGGTTTAGAAGCTATCAAAATTGGTTGCCGGGTACATGAACTGTTTACTATGAAGAAAGTGCTGTCTTGAAAACTGTCTACCAGTTGTCAATTTTGCATGGCAGCAGCTCAAATTTCACTACTTCAAGTTTATGTATAAATTAAGACCCAGGCTGGTTGTCTGTACGATTGTTGTAACACTGTTCAACCAAAAACAATGCCCCGACAGTGTTTTGAAGATAAACACATTGTCAATCATCTGTGAAAATTTCAAAACAAAAGGTCAAAGCGTCTAGGAGCTATTTTTGTTTAAAGTTCTGGGATGTGCACTAAAAAGAAGCTGAGATAATTGCTAATTTGCATAACAATTCACTCAGTAAGAAGTTTGCTAATGCTCATAATTAAAATAGCTGTAACAGTTCCAAATTTAAATGTATTATCGTTTTGTTAAGTTAAATATAGTGCATAATATGGAGATCCCGTCATTACTTTTTTTCTCCATGTTTCTTTTGATTATTTATGTACAGCCTTGCTGAATCTTGCTAAGCATTCAAAAGAGAGAATGTTTGTACCCGTTATCTATATTATAAAATAGTCTTTCGAGTATGTTCCACTATTCACAATTCTATAGCCAAGACTGTTTGGCTAATAAAAAGCAAAAAAAAAAAAAATCACTCCCAAAGGCCCACAAACCTGCATCTCTACCTTAAGGTAGCGAGAAGGTTTTGTGACGTTTTTAAATAAAACATTCTCTGTCTGTTGTCTCGTTCAGAACAGTAATTTAGGTTATATATATCAAAAGACTAAGTATAGAGGTGCAAGTTCGCACAAACTGGACAGACATTGTTTACATAATTATCACGTGACATCAAAAATTGCGAACCTTGTAAAAATGACTAAGTACGCGATTGCGAGAGCACACTGCGGAATTTCCTGGTGAAATTTAAGTTATGCATTGTCCGTAATCAAGTCCATTGAAATGCGTCTCCGATAATCAAAAGACCTATTATTCCGATTTCTATGCAGGTTTGTTTTTTTGTCCCCAAATTATTTCATACTTGGCACCTTTAACAGACTATTATTCTGTGACAAAGCATTTTCTTTAAAAACCCAGACATATTTCGCACCATCATTATCTTTTGAACGATAACTGCGAGTTTGAATGTCCTAGTCCGAACGCACTTGATTTGGCGGCGGTCCCAATGAGTCGTACTCGATCAAAACTTCAACTCGAGAAAAACGCGAAAAACAGTTTTGGTTAATAAAACACTGTAGATTTGCTGCATTATTATAAATATACACTAAAAATGGCCAAACATATTAACCACTGATATCATAGAACTCATAAAGAGTGTCAGATAATGAATAATTTCAAGCTCGAGCGTGAAAAATGAAGAAAACTGCTGGCATTTGAGTCCGTACTCCAGGAACGTTCGGGTTTTCCATTGTTATGCAAACGAACAACGAGGGATAATCCTCTGACAAACATTACTGTCCCACTGTACACGCTGACAGTTTACAAACAAGCTAATCCTTCAAGTGTCTCAGATAAGACATCTAATAAAACGGTTTTCATGGTGAAACAAAATGGCCGATGTTTGAAAATTGCTGTGTCAGAGTGCGACACTGAGTGGCAGATTTTTCTTTGCCT